CCACCATTTAGTATGAATTTCTATATAATTTCTCTGTTTTACTGACATCTCACCTTCCCTTGGGGGATTTTGTGTATAGAGGGGGGATGGGGACAAGAGATAACATCCACCTTCCATTCTCAGAAATAAACCCAAAGTCTAAGAAGGCTGTTTTGAAAGTCTCTAAAGCAAGCAGTGAGTTGGACCGTGATTAATCACATCAGGCCCAGACAGATGCATATGCAACCAAAGACTTCATTAAGATAACAGTGATAACTCATTCTGATTTTTTCTGTTGAATAAAAACTAAATGAAATTCAGTTTACGTTAAGTTACCTTATTTCATTCTGAGATGCAAGTGTCTGACTGACACTCTATAGGGTAGCTCATCAGGGTCATGCTTTTGAAGTTCCATGCAAGACTGATAGGGAATTACCATGTAAATGTATGATTCACTTTTGATCAGGTAAGCAAGTCCAACAGGAGCTCTCAAATGGCAGCAGTCTGTAATTTCTTGACGTCTCCCAAAATCTGTCTTGGTGTGGAAAAGTTCAGCTTTCCAGAGAGCAACATGTCCTTGTGTTGGTCAAGTCAACCCACACCAGAAGAATCTGTCTGACTCCTTGGAGCCACCACGCAGCAAGACTCTCTGTACCAATCCTTCCTGTGCTAGAAAAGAGGAGTAGCAAAGATTTTCATTGTTTAGAAACACTGCAGTCTTCACTAAATACTCTCCCAGCACTACTCTGACACAAGGACTAAGCTGCCACTTGTCTCAACAGGATCATCTTCAACAAATGACATTAAAGCAGAGAAACAAGTACTCAGATATCTGCCATGATTTCTATTTTAAGGTTTTTCTTTCATCTTATGTTTGAAGAAGCTCTCCAGCTTTGGTACAGCTGCATGCCTGGTATAGTTTCTGCAGTCCTACTGAAACCCATTCTACAACTAGAGAGCTCGAGGCCTGTTAAAAACTTCCAGCAGCAGCACTGTTATTCCCAGCCCTGACTGCACTCCAAAACCCAGAGTCTGACCCAGAAGGTCCCTGGGCAGCATAAAAGAGGAGGTGCATGCTTTCAAAAAGCAGGTTAAATAGTTCATTACTTTCTCGTTAAGGAATCTACAGAGATTAATACAGATGCTTAAGTTGTTCTGCATGTAGCATACACAAAGCAGATTTCTGGCTACACAGGGTGGTAAGCAGATAAGAAACAAGGGAAATGCTCCAGGCAGATAATAAAATTCATGATAGTATAGAGCTGTGTTCCCAGGCAACTGCAATTCAGCATGATTTCCATAGAAGCAGTGTGGGTTTTTTCACATAGAACTTCATGAAATATTTCTTGAAAAACATTAATTGAATTATATTGCCAACCCAAGATCTACAGAAGGGTATTGACCCTAGACTGCCACAGACCTATGACCAGGGACCAAATAATTTCCTTTTTGAATCCACAGGTAAAGCACAAAGATTGGCACCAGTACCAGGACTGGGAGCTAGTCTGAGCACTCCTTTCAGAGCTTAAGAATAGACTCATTAACTTCTTAGCCTCCTTACTAAGCCTAAGCTATTTATAGAACCACTGAAATCAATGAGTTCACTGATTAAAATAGATCTATATGCATAAACCCTGATGTACTAACTTAACTGGACTCAGCATCACTAAATCTGACAAAGCAAGACAAAGCAATCAGGAAACAACAGTAACACATGGTCCTGACACCCCTTTCACCATAGCTAGCTTTGCTACTCACACCAAAACCCACTAAATGCAAAACTCACATCAAAAAAAATCCCCAAATCAACCAGAAGTTTGAGAATTTGGTCTACGTTTTAAACTCTTCAGGCTCGGAAGTGGCACTTATTTTATGTTTCTAACATATCTTGCAAAACAGGTCTCTGACCTTTGTTCTCAGGTGCTCTCCTAACAAAGGAAAAATTAGTGATTTTTAGAGCAATAAACTTTAGGATATTTCTATAGATATTAATATTTTTAAACATATACCCCTTAGTATGGGGTCAAACAAGACTTCAGAGAGTTTCTCTACAATGCCCAGCTGGGCAAACAAAATTTGACCTTATTAACATAGTCTTATCACTGAAAACCCAAAGGAGGGGGGGATTAAAAGTAAAAATTTTGAGAAGACAGAGGCATTGGTTTAGCCAGGAAAAACAAATAGCAGTGGTGGTTGTCACAGTGGAGGTTCATGAGCTTCAGTGCCCCAGGTCATGCAATGCCCATGGTCTCAGCAAAGGTGAAATCATCAGTCTTCCAAATCAGCTGAACTTAATTTTTAATTAATCAGAATAAAAGGTAAAGTGCTCAAGATCTGTTAGACTTCTTTCCTTTAAATGTATAACAGGAATCAAGTTAGTCAGAATTGTGTAATCATTCATACAAGAAAAGTTGCTTATCTCAAGAGAAGTGCCCCTGTAATCACTTTTGTAAATATAGTTGCATTAATCAAGTATAGGATAACAGGTTCAAAGCTGTAAACCCTGGAAATCTTTTACCATATGAAAGGTTATTATAGGCATTAACTCCTAATGTCTGCTTGTTATCACGGCAGCACCAGTTCCCCAGGGGTCAGGAGGTTTATGCTAAAGCACACAGTGCTGAGTAAAGAGCACATTTAAATCTCTATTGTAACTGAACCCAAAACACCTTCTTTAATTCCCCACCTCAAACAATAAATCCAGAACAAGAAAAACATGCAGGTGGATCCCTCTTGACTTTTTGCTCATCCCAGGTGCTCTAAAGTTCTCTGTCTTAAGAAAAATCAAGCATCAGAAGATGCTCTGGGTTTTCCCAAGCACTGCTTTTGGGAGGCAGCAGACCAAAGTGGCAAAGGCAGAAAGAAATAGGCTGAGCACAGGTGAGCCTCGTGGCAGCCCCATCTGGCTGCAGCCTAGCCAGCCTGGTCTCAAACAAGCAAAAAACTGGTTTAAAAAAGGTATGGTTTCCCAGTGTTGTGGATGGGCAGGACCTCAGGGTCTCGAGGTTATCTGTGGTCTTTGCCAAAAGGAGAGCATTTAGCAGATGGAGGGGGCTCTGTCTTGGAGTCACTGTGTGACCCTGAAGGAGGCTGTGGAAAATGGTCTAGCCATATGCTTCACATAATCAGTATTTTACATGGTTTCACACAAAAGCTCTGAGGATTCACAAGTATTTCCTTAAGAAGTAATATTTCAGGGTATCTTTGTATTGATCCTCTTCTCTAAATTGCTTGAAACTAGTCACCATAGCCTTTCCTTTTCATGTTGCTAGTAGTGGTAGTAGTAGTAGTGGTAGTAGTAGTAGTAGTAGTAGTAGTAGTAGTAGTAGTAGTAGTAGTAGTAGTGTGAAGAAACACTTCACCTTAACCACAGCACCTAAGCTGTTTTCACATCTTCAGACTTTCTAATCTCTAACACACCACTTGACCAGTTTTCAATAAAAAAGAGAAAATTGCCCAGCAGTGTATATTCAACCTCCAGGTCTAGATATAAATTGAGCAGCAGTTCTGTAAAGGGTAAGCAGTAGTTTTCTACTGGTTGTACTTTTGAAGCTGGATGCTCTTTCAAGACCTAGACCTGGTCACTCTGAATGTCTCGCTGTGCAATTTTTTCCACAACCAAGTTAAGGACTCCTCCAAGCAGAAGGACAGCAAGCACAAGTTGGCCAGCAGCATGCTGGTGAAGAAGAGATTGGCAACCGTGAACAAACAGGTCAGGAAGAAAGGAGATTAGGGGGGTGCTGGGTGACAAGGGAGAAAGCATCTTAGAAGAACAAGCAGGAGAAAGATAATCAAAGGGATTGGAGAGGCCAGATAGAGTCAGGGTGGAGCAGGACCCAGCACGCTTGAGGAGGGGTGATAAGAGCTGTTGGATTGTGGCTGTTGTTGCCAGCTAAAAAACATACTGCAGTAGCAACTACTCGGTGAATAAAGAAGCAGGAGGACATTTCCAAGGGTTTGGGCTGTATTTGGCTGTCTATGTCCTTTTCTCCCTGTGCATGTCTAGCTAATGTTTAAAGACCACCTTTGTGCTGCTCTCTACCAAAATCAAACACGGTAGGGAAAATCAGCATGAACCACAGGACAATGAAAGTCCACTCATAATACCTCTACCCCTTACACAGCTTCACTACCTAGAAGGAAACTGCCTCACACAGCTGGAATCCACACAGCAGTCTTCAGTAATGGTACTGAAAACACCCAATACACACAAAACCTCGATGCTAGATGCTGGCCATTTCTTCCTGGCAGACACAACAGCTATTTAGAGGGCAACTCTGCAATCCTAGCATACTGAATTGGTCCAATTTCAAAGTGATAAGCAGGAAGGATATAGCAGATGGAAGATATCAGGGATACCCAGAGAGCAGTGTAGCACTGTGACTAAAGCAAAAACCTGCATTTGCTGAGTCATATGCATATGCTTACATATGGTCAGCATCATATGTGTGTGTGTGTGTGTGTGTGTGTTTACACACGTGTGTGCATGTAAAAATAAACGCATGCATATACAGGTACATGCATTAATTATAAGACATTTCTCCACTTCATCAGACCTGCTGCTGCTGGCACTTGCTGTGGAAATGTCCTCCATCCTACAAGAGACTCTATCCCTCTCTTCCTCATGCATCCTTGTCCTGAGGCCACAGTTGCCCAGAATGTTTTTGCTCTGTGTGTGTGTGTGTGTCCCATACAAAGAAGGTTACCCTTGCCCACGCAGCGCAGGCGTGGGGCTGCACAGAGATGCTGGATTCAAAGAAGGCACAGGCACGCTGCCGAACTCTTTGGCCAAGTGAACAACTACTCTGAAAGAGCTCTGTGAGCCAGGCTCCTCTTTGTTCCCCTCAGTCTCCCATTGCTGCTGCCTCACATGATTATTCTTTGGCCAGGACACAAAGTGCTTAGAAGAGACAGTATTTGTCTTTCAGAAGGAAACTTAACATCAGTGTTAGTTAGGGAATTGCAAATATAAAATAATTTGTAGAAGCCTTTGACTTCTGCCAGAAATAATATATATACATGTACAGGAACAAGCGCCACTGCCAGCAGGAGGGGGTCATTGCCTTACTGCTCCATGGCCTCTGGAGCCAGAAAAATAAATTTTCATCCCCTTAAGGTGACCACTGAGTTGCTGTGTAACCCCATCTTGATGTGCTGGTAGCCCAGTTCCCTGCCACGTGGAGAAGAACGGAGCACAGGGATGAATTTACAGCTGGTGAAAATAACCAGAACTTCCTTCTAGCCAACACACTTGCACTTCCTTCCACCAGCAGATATTTTGCTCCCATGTTCCTTCATCAGAAGCCAAATACCTTCCTTCCTGGGCTGACAAAGAAGCACAAGGAACAGTGATGCTCAATTTGCTGAAGGCAGGCTTTTTGGATAGCCTTCATGTCAGCCCAACCACTAACCCAAAAATATCAGTTTACTTCATGGAGGAGCAGTACCCTGCCTTACAACCAGGAAGACACATAATGCATTTTGTCATTTGTAGAACTTCATAGCCCTTAGGAGAAACCCAGGATCTCTGCTTTTGCTTTCTCCTTTCTTTTCAGTGCAAATGTACAGGGCCAGCACACTAGCATAAAAGCTGGGCCAGTGTTACTTTCAGGAGAAGCTGGACTTGCTGTCACTGTGAGTGTAAGGAGCTGATTGGTTAAGATCAGATTTTGTATTTCAGATAGTAAAGGACAGAGGCAAATAGGAGTTGCTGCAGACAAATGAAAAGGCTCGTCTGGAGACAATGGGAATCAAGGGAAATTGTAAAAAGCCTCAGCACATATCCAGGTAAGTCCCTTCCCTTCAAGTAAAAAGCATCAGCAGTAGGAGGCAGAAAATAGATGCATATGCCACTGCCCACTCCTAGGTGGACTCAGTAACTATGCTTGAAAGTACAGCTGGCACTCAGAGAACAGATTTTGTGGGAGCCATAGAGGGAGCTGCACAGGTTCCTACTCTTCACTCTCTGAAAGTCCAGCAAATCCTTCCCCGTCAACAGATGAAGTTGTTTGTCCTGGGGAATGCACAGTGTCCCTTTGCCACAGCACAGGCACAAGATGTGGAGCAGATGCTCCACCACAGGTCTTCTACCCCAGAGCTGGTGTGGCTCTGGGGGAGAAGCAGGACCCTCTTCCTCCTCAGTGAGAGCTGGGGAGCAGCTCCTCTGAGCACCATGCAAAGCCCATGGGGTCTGTGATTATCCCCCTCTGGTTTGAGTTATCAAGCTACACCCAGACAACTTGGGGCTCGCCAAACACCCACTTACACTCTTAGAAATCAGACACCAGAGATGTTCATGTGTAGAAAGGCGCTCCCCGGATGGCAACATTCCCAAAATCATTTGGGTGTAATTGTTCGAAATGTGCACCAGCCGTCACAAGGGCTGCAGGTATTGTACTGCTGGTGGGTGTTTTGTCACAAGGTAGACCCCGCACATTGCTGGGCACTTAAAACCCAGCCAGAAGAAAACACTTTCTGTGAGCAATTTGGTCAAAGGAAACTGGGGTATGCAGAAAGGCACCACCCCTGCTTCATACGTCAACTCTAAAAAGAAATAGCCAATTAAAGCAAGTGCTGCTCTGCAAGATGTCATGGCGTTCACTGCACTGAATTCCCACTGGAATTCTCACACAGGGAGGGTTGTCCTCTTTGATTTAAATCTTGGGATATTGGCTCATCCACATCCAACATTTTTTACAAGACTGATTTTTAAGGTGTTCATTGAAAAAGAGTTGCTTTCTACCTCTTGAATTATGCAATCCTTTACTTACAAAACTATTTGTACACTAGGCTGTGGACCTACTGTGTCAAGTCAATAACTTGTATAACATCACCACCAGGTTATTTTCCCATACTTACCCTGGAGCCTCCTTACCGTAGTTTTGTTTCCATCTCCTCACCACAGGGTGGTCAATGATATGTGGTTAAAAACAGATGCAGATCTTTATTAAACATGGGTGAATGCTGAAAAAAAATAAAAAGGAACTGGGACTGGAAGGAGGTAAAGAGAAGTGGAGTGCCATATCGAACGTGTCACTTGCCTTGCACTGTTAGTTTCTAGAGTCATGCAAGCAGCTGCAGTGATAGCATTATCTGCCGACTGCACTGCTTGGCCAGGCAGCCTTTCCCCTCCCAGCTCGCCCTGTGCACTGATGCAGCACAGTGTAGCTAGGGGAAAAAGAGGAAAGTTTTCAACCCTAGATCCCAAGAAACCACCATCAGCTTCATTTCCTTTTCTATCTGTAGGTACTGCTACCTTGCAAAACAGAGTGGAAGCTCAGGGACCAAGGGCCTCATCAATATTGGTAAATTAAACCATGACTGGGGATGAACCATGATTATCTGTGTTAATAAGGTGTTCAGGCATTTCACAGCCTATGGCAATTACTGCCATGGGGCACAGTCCAGAGTCAAGGACCTAATCTCAGCTGGCCATCAGCACGTAGCCACCGTCTGCCGAAGTGGACAGCATTTCACTAGCAGAGATGAAAGCTTTACCTGCCGGCTGGTCTATGTGCCTGGGAATGTTCCCAGGTATAATTAATTCACTAATATATGAGTAGTCGATAACAATTCATGGTTATTCAAGTGCCTGCTATCTCTATTGACCAAGATATGAGCTTCTTTCATCAGACAGCCAATGTCACTTTAAGCAGAGACAAGTTCAACCCACAAACCTACTGGGCTGCTCTAGTGACTTCTCTAGAAAGCTAGTGGTAAGCATTGCAATTATGCCTTTCCATCTACAATTTTATAACAAAATAAGCCTCTACCTGTAAATATCACTAGGACTCAATAATAAATTCCACAAAAAGCTTATGCTCCTGAAGAGACAGAGGCTTACTCATCCCTGCTGAACACCTCATTAACTTCCCTTGTCATTTCCTTGCCCATCCCCTTCTCTCAATTTTACTGAACCTCCACCTTGCCCTAACTGGAACATTTGTTAACTTCATCCTAACTATATTCTAAATTTGCCAGGGAATTTAACTGACCCTTCACCCTCCATCTGTGATCATTGTTAATGCCCCGCTTCTTGCTACAGCTTTGGATCAGGCACAGGATGTACACTAAATCAGAAAGCACTTGCCATCAGCAGATAGACAGGCACCCATTCATGGGGAATCCATAGCAGACACCTAGAATATTCTTACAGAAGGGTGTGAGTTTAAAGCTACACATTTGGAAACCCAGAACACTGTAATTGCAAATAATTATAACTTGAATACATTAGCATTTTGCATAAATATAAGAAGTCATACAGGTTGCAGATTATTTTTTTTAAGAAGTTGTTTTTAAAAGCCATGCCTACAACATTCCAGCTCAAACTCATGATATTTCTGTGGCTTCTTGGAAGTTAGGTAAGGACCAAAACAGTAGCAGCCCTCTAATGTGAAAAATACCTTCTGCTCCAGAAGAACCCAGATACAAAATAAAGGCTTCTGTGTAGAGAATCCTTGAATTCCAAGTGTCTTACACCAGTCTGGGCAGCAAGGAAACTGTTCAGTAGATGTCAGGATCAAAACTGCACACTCCAAATCTATCAGCCCTTGTTTTTCTTGTCCTAAAATGCTGGTTTTTTCAACATTTACCAATCAGAGTGATCTTACATCTGTGAAAAGCAATCTCAGGATCAGTTGGACTGTGTTGCTGCAATCATTTTCACATACAACCAGTAATGTTAGGTTAAATCTTCAACATTCATTTTCTGTTCACGATCTTTCTTGTCTTCTAAGCTTATCTTCCCTCTCTGGAAAGAAATGGGAGACCTGGATACCATGGACAAAGAGAAGACTGATGTTCTCAATGACATCTATGCCCCTGTTTTCAACGGCAAGTGCTCTGGCCATGCTGCCCAAGTTGAGAAAGGCAAATGAAGGGACTGGAAGAAGGAAGACCCTGAGACAACTGTAGGACAGAATCAGTTTCAAGACCATCTAAGGAACATGAACATGCACAAGTCATGGGACCTGACGAGATTCATCCATGGGTCCTGAGGGAGCTGGCAGATGAAGTTGCTAAGCCACTATCCATCATGTTTGAAAATTCATGGCAGTCAGGTGAAGTCCCTGATGACTGCAAAAAGGGAAGTATTTTTTAAAAGGGGAAAGTGGAAAACCTGGGGAACTACAGACCAGTCTCACCTCTGTGTCAGGCAAGATTATGGAGCAGATTCTCCTAGAAACCGTGCTAAGGTACGTAGAAAACAAAGAGGTGATTGGTAACAGACAACATGTCTTTACAAAGGGGAAATCATGCCTGAGAAACTTTGTGACTTTCTATGACAGGACTACAAAGTTGGTGGATAGAGGCAGAGCAACTGACATTGTCTACCTGGACTTATGCAAAGCATTTGACACTGTCCCACACAAAATCCTTGTCTCCAAGTTGGAGAGACATGGATTTGATGTATGGACCACTTGGTGGAGAAAGAGTTGGCTGGATGGCTGCACAAAAAGAGTTGTGGTCAATGGCTCATTGTCCACATGGAGACCAGTGATGAGTGGTGTCCCTCAGGGATTGGTACTGGGGCTGATACTCTTCAACAGCTTTTCTGGCAAAATGAGCACATCTCAGTGGGCACATTCAGCACATTTGCTGATGACATCGTGCTGTGGGTGTAGTCGACACACTGGAGGAAAGGGATGGCATCCAGAGGGACCTTGACAGGGGAACTGATGCAAACCTCATGAAGTTCAACAAAGCAAAGTGCAAGGTCCTACACCTGGGTCATAGCAATCTCAGACACACGTACAGGTTGGGTGGAGAAATGACTGAGAGCAGCCCTGCAGAGAAAGACTTAGATAATGATTGATGAAAAACTTAACATGAGCTGGCAATGTGCACTTGCAGCCCAGAAAGCTAATGGAATCCTGGGCTTCATCAAAAGGAGAGTGGCCAGAAGGTCAAAGGAAATGATTCTCCACCTCTCCTCTGCTCTTGTGAGACCCCACCTGCACTGTACATTTCTGACACCCCCAATATAAGCCCCCAATATAAGAAGGACATGAAACTGTTGGAGCAAGTTCTGAGGGGGGCCACGAAGTTGATAAGAGGACTGGAACACCTCCCTTTGAAGACAATCTGAGAAAGGTGGGGCAGTTCATCCTGAAGAATGGGAGGTTGTGTGGAGACCTCACACCAACCTCATAGTATCTGAAGGGGGAATGTAGTAATAGGACCAGGAACTGTCAGGAACTGTAGTAATAGGACCAGGAGTAATGAGTACAAACTGAAAAAGGGGCAATTTAGGTTAGATATTAGGAAGAAATTCTTTACTGTGGGGATGGTTAGATGGTGGAAGAGTTTGCCCAGCAAGGTTGTGCATGCTCTAACCCTGTCAGTGTTCAAGGCCAGGTTGGATAAGGCCTTGAGCAACCTGTTCTGGTGAAAGGTGTCCCTGCACATGGCAGGGGGGTTGGGACTAGATCTTTAAGATCCATTCCAACACCTTAACACTCTACATTTAACAAAATAACTAGGAACAACTGAAGAATCAGACATGACCTAGAACCACAGGTGGCAGATACTTGATATTGATGCTGAGAACACCAAAGGAGCAGGCACAACCCAGCAGTGCCAGCTAGGAATACAGTCCCTGCATCTGCAGAAAGTTCATCCAGATGCAGCCAAGATCCTCAGAGCTATGGACTCTAAATTCACTCCCACAATAGGAAATGCGAGACTGTTTGCAGAAGAAAAGCTTTTGAGTGTTGGTTCCCATTTCTTCTAAATACACACAAAAATTTGCATAATTAACAAGCTGACAGGTTGAGAACAGACTTCACTCATCCAAAGGTCTTAAAATTATCCAAACTGACACAAGCTCCCATTGCTAGTATACATCAAGCTTAGAACAACAGGTTTATTTAAAAATAAACTTTATTTACAAGACATTCAAACTTCATTTTGAAAAAAATATAGCTATACATAAAACTTTAAATTTTTCACTAATGGTTAATAAAACCATAGTGATATTTACAATTCATTGCTTCAGCAATCATGGAAATTACATCTTGGCACATTAAATCACATACTGAACAGAAAAACTGGAGAAAACTTTTAAGCAACAAAACTCCATAAATGTAACAATCTTATACAGCAACATCCTCACATCAAGGTGCCACTGTCCAAATAAAGTATTTAACATAGAAAGTGCTTTCACTGTACAGAAGAGTAAGTAGAACTTATAGGAATGTTCATAGCTTTTGAATGATCTTCTACCTGTTTTCTAATTAGTGACCCAGGATGTTGGTGAATGACCAGTGAACCCCTGTGATTTCATTATACCTTCCCAGGTTTAGAAACCAACCTTTTTAGAAAGTTGATTCAGGTGAAGTGTTTATTAAGAAATGAAGCATATATAAATACATATGTTCACATCTCAGGATGACTACTACTTAGACAACACTTCTACACAGGTCGCAGGATACAAAATAGTCCTCGGAGTAGCTCGCATCAAGCCATCCACAGACCTTGGGTGGTAAACTTCACTTCGGGGAAAACTCAGGTGCTGGTGTATTCCCTTCAAAGTTCAGAATAAAGAGGAGTATTCAGGACAGTAAGTGTTATTAATCGGGAATGGGAGAGGGAAAGAATGGGAAAAACTAAAGAAGGTCAAAAAGTGGTTTGCATCGGTAAGGTGTGTCATGTAGGAAAACCAGAAATTTGAATAGAAGAATGGAGTGCAGAAATTTAACCAGTGTATAAAAGAGGTATTCTTAAACTGTATTATAGGTACATCACCATGACCAGAAGCCTAGCAAAACCACCCTGCTTTTATCAAGGAAATAAAAAGTAAGAAAAACTTTAGGAGGAAAAAAACCCCAGAACTATGAGTCAGAGTAAGTATTGTAAAGAACACACAGAAAATGAAGTCAACTAAAAACTTGGTAAGACAAAAGCAATACTCCTAAAAATAGCAGCAGTTATTTTTCTTTACATTGAAGAACAAAGGCAAGACTTGCACTGAGAGAGTTACAAAAGAAGGAAAAATTAACAATCAAATTGGCACTTCTGGCACATATAAAAAGGTGACAAAGAATTGAGTCACTTCAGGAAAAGGCACACAGCTGATGAAGGCCCATAAATTGCTTTTGCATTCAATGTCATGTTAACTTATTCCAGATTTCACTTTTAGTCCAGAACAATATGGCAAGGTTAGCAAATGTTTTGTTGTCATACAACTAGGTCACACATACGGCTGGTTATGGGTCAGAGGGCCACATTAGCTGGACAACCAGTTGAAAGTCAGACATAATTTAAGCAGATTTCCTTTGCTACAGGCAGTGATGGCAGAAACAGACAACCAGTGCAAGAGAACCCACATGCCATAAAGAGACAGTCGTAAGGCAGTACTTGAAGAGGACAGAGTAGCACAATCAATCAGGAAGGGAAGCAAAGCAAGTAACCTAAAGAGGCCAGAACAGAGATTTTATGACAGTGCAATGGACTACAAAACCGAATTTAAAACAACTACCCATAGATACAGTCAAATACTGAAATATACTGTATTTCAAAATGAGGGAGGACTACCCCAAGAGAATCAGAAGTGATATGCCAAGAACTGAAGGGAAATAAGCCAGTACAATATAAACACTGATTGGAATTAAGTCTTCTATGGTATTAGAGAGGGGTTGCCCAGTACAGCCTAATTGTGACACACTTAAAACAGAAGAGAAAAATATTTTGTTGTGGGACTCAAACAAAGACAAAGGTGCTGGTCAGAAACCTTAGCTGATTACCCTGAAAGTCCCTACACACACAAAAAAAGCAAGGTTCATCTCATAAATAACATAGTTCTGTTGGTTTTGCTTGCTTAAGTAATAAAGCAAATTTAAAATCTGCTTGCTTTCTAGACCTGAAGATTTGTATAATCCCTGGTATTTTCCCATTTATTCACAGGCAACAATTACAGTACATTCAACCAGACAAGTTAAAAAAAAAAAAACCCAAACGCTTAAGAATGTTACTTCATTATATTTTCAGGTTTCAACACTTCTGAAAGTTTAGAAAATACGTAACCATGGTTTGAACAAGCACTAGAAGAACAAAGATGGTCCATTTTGTCAAATGCTCCAACATCACATATACAATATCTTTTTAATCTCAAATACTGCCATTCCAGCTTTCAAACATTTAATAATATATATATATATATATATAAAAATTACCTGATTTAAGACACAAATGCATAATTATGAAAGGGTGCTTGTTTTAGAGGATGTCTGGAAGCAACTTCTCCTTAGACTTTGTTGTTATTTTGGGAGCTTTCCATTCTGGTTCTCAAAAACCCTATAAATGCTATTTACATCTAAACCTCACCATTTAAACATCATCAGAGGTGAAAATAAGGAAAAAAAAAAAAAAGAAAAGAAGAACAGGCTGTCTTACTTTATGCCACACACTTTTAAAGGCAGAGCAATCCTTACAGTGTTTCCTGATTTACATTAACTCTTGCAATAACTGCCAAGCAAGATCCCGCTGCTGCCAGCGGAAGCAAACAGGCCAGAGGATCAAGCTTTTAATTATATTAACAAATATGTTAATTTATATGATAAAAATCTATAATAAAAAGCTATAAAATCTATTAATTCACCCAAGAATCTGTTGAAAAGGGAGGGGTAGCTACAGATCTAGAAATGTGCTTATTAGACTGCAATCACTGCTTCAGTAAATACTATTTTCCGAGCAGCAAAATATCCTGCTGTGTGTTTTAATATTCACTGAATTAATGCAATCATCTTTATTAGTGTGGAATTGTCTGCTTTTAAGCCAGCCTAGCAAGGAGGTCCCGGTATTTTCCCAGCCCAGGCGTGAAATCAATTTGCTCTCTCTGTTAAGGCGTCACTGAGGTAAAGACAGCACTATTTTATAA